CCGGCCCTGCACCGGCCCTGCTCCGGCCCTGCTCCGGCCCTGCACCGGCCCACTCTTCACAGGGCCCAGGCCCCACCCCAGCCTGTGCTCTCTGTATCTGCAACGGAGTGGCCTGAGCCTCTGTCACTGTCCAGCTGGACGCCAGCCAAGTGCTGGCGTGTTCCTGGGAGTCGCCACTGCTTGAAAAGCCCGGAGCACCACGCTGGAGCGTGGGTGCCAAGCGGCACCTACTTCCTGTGAGAAGCCGGGCACAGGTGGCAAAGGGGCAGAGGCTGCAGAGAGGGTTACTTGACAGTGTCCTTTTAAAACACACCTTGAGGAACCGACTGTCATGACTCCAAATCCAGCAGTTCTCACACTTTTTGGCCCAGGAGCCCTTTACACACTTAAAACTTCTCACTACTAGTATTTTGTTTTTAATGTGCTGGAATCAAACCTAGGGCCTCGTCCACCGCTAAGCATGTGCTCTATCACTGAGCTACACTCTAGCCCCTGAAAATTTAGTTTGCCTGTGTTTTATTAATCTATATATATTGAGTGTATGAGAAGTTAAACCTGAGAAAGGTTTCGAGGATTTCTTGCTAATATCCACTTAAGAGGTAAACCTATTATTTATTATCTTAAGTAACATATTTATGAAAAATTACTGTATTTTTCAATACAACAAATAATGATGTTTGTACTTTTGGGACTCATTCTCTCCAAAACAGCTGGGCTCTACCCTCCACCGACTGAGGTGCACACCACAGAGCTTCTGGAATGCTCCTCCAGTCACTCAGGAGAGGACAGAGCCTGAGGGTGTGATCCCCAGATTCAGCGTGACCCCAGGAGCCCCGGGCCACACGTTGAGAACCGCTGTTGGGGCGGGAAGGGCCAGCGCGGGGCGCGGTCCGCCAGCCTCGGAGAGGACCACACTACCTTCCACTCCTGCCTGCGCTTTAGCTGCTGCACCTCCACAGCTCCCACCGTGCTGGCCACCAAGCCTCTCATCTTTTCCTCACAGTGCGCCTTTAAGCGGGTTAGGTCATGAGAGAGCTGTGGCATAAAGAGACAGCATCTTTCAAAACAGGCCCCCGCCGGACCCTGAGCCCGCCACACAGGCCAAGGCAGCCCCGCCGCCTCCGGAGGGGTACACGTGTGGTGCATGAGCGCATCACAGGGCTGTGAGGTGCGCCAGGTCACACAGACGTGTGCAGGGGCATCTGGGTACCGGGGGCGCAGCCAGCACCTGGGAAAGGCCAGCCTGACAGGGAGGCAGCTGGGGTGCCAGGGCCCAGCTGACGGGCGGGCGGTGTCTCCCGGACCATCTTCCACCCCACTACGTCTCATCCAGAGCCCGGGCTCCTGGGCGTTTTCCCACCAACCAGGAGAAGGACACACTAAATGGGGATGAGACTGCTGCTGGGATGACATGACGGTTCAGCCTTCCATGTGTGCGTAAACTCTGACACCTTAAACTAGGAAGCGTGAACGTGACCCCAGTCCACCCCACTCCGACTGGAGCAGTGCTGTGCCAGGGCCCTCGCCACAACTTGGCACCCACAGCCGGACTCCCGCTAGCCTCGCGCACTTCTCAGGCAGGGAGGCTGAGGACCCCAACGCCCTCACTGGTGTGCCTGGGAAGCTCCGCTGGGCTCCCAGGGCCACCATGAGGCCGAGCAGGGCAGCGCGTGCAGCAGCTCCTGCCGCAGCGCTCACCTGCTGGGTGACTGACGGCCTTAGGCTAAGTCAGGGTGTCCAACGTTGCTGTACCAACCCAAATCCTCCTCCCTCTAATTATGATGGCAGTTTCACTCACTGGCAGGCCAAAGAAAAGATCTAAGTTCCTGGACAAGCCCTGTCCACAAAACAGAGTCATGGGGTGTCCACTGCAAACTGAAAGAGCGCTCCTGGCTTTCACAGAACAGGGTTAGGGAGTGGAACTCTAAACAACCAGGAACAACTCACCGGCCACAGTAACACGGCAGCCACAGGAGAAGGCTGTCTCTTTACTGGGGCGCTGGGAGGTCCCTGGCCTGCCTGACTGTCATGTGGGAGGCGACTGCACAGGTGGCACCACCGGCTGGTAAGTGGCCGACTGGAACCTGCCCAGCTGCACTGAGGACCCTGCCCACCGCTCAGGGGGCTCCAGGCCCGGCTGAAGACACTCCCCCAGGGCTCCCGGCCTCCTCTGCCCAAAGCATAAACAACGGCAAGAGCAAAACAAAAGACAGAGGAGAGGCGAGAGGGAGGGAGGTCTTTGCAAAAGGGGCGGGCCATGAGACGCCGGGAGGGCAGGGGCTGAGAAAGAGTGGAGACGTGCTGTGCACGCTCGCACGTCGACAGCCACGACGGCCATGACACTGTGCACTGCAAACCAGACCGACACAACAGCTCTAAATTAACAAAACATTTCAGGGCAGTGTAGGAGCCTTGCTCTTCTCCGGCATTCTCATCACTCGCTGTGACCCAGCCTCCTGCTCATGGAAGAGGCTAGTGCTCAGGACCCGTGGCGGGCTCCGGGACACAGGCTCAGAGTGCCCTGTGTGTACCCTGGGGACCCTGTGAGGGCCCAGGGTGTCCTGCACAGGGCCACTGGGAACTAGGGCGACCCCAGGGGAGCCATGGAGCACCCCCACTCCTGTGAAGGTGTGTTTGCCTCTCCCGAGTTAGGGCCCCTGCACTGACTACGCTGCGTGAAATGACAGACACTGTCTCCTTTGCCAATATCTGATGTTTTCTCCAAACTACACATCGACATCTTAAAAAACAAGTGCACAAGTGTTACGCTCACAGCCCCGTGCACACATGGAAGAGCACACTGTCCACCCCAGCGGAGGCCGCACACCTACTTGCTTCTTGTGGCTGCCACGCAGGAAGGACCTGGGAACGCCGTTCCTGCATTCTGAGTCACTCTGCTCCTCGTAGCTCTCGAATTCACTCGAGCTCCACCCGTACTCCACAGAGCTGTTTCCTCCTTGCTCTCCGTTCTCAACGTCATCATAAATCATTTCATCTGAGTACACAAATTCCAGGATGAAATTAAAACTCAAATGCAGAGTTAGGGCCGGGACAGCAGAACATTCGAGTGCGCAGAGGAACCATGTGCCGAAGCCCTCCCTACACGGGGGTATGGGGCCTCAGGAAGTTCTCCAGCCGGCTCCCAAGGTGCCCTTTCCACTCCCTGGGACCGCTGGCCCCTCTGAACCCCACAGTGACACCGAACATTTGTTGCAAGAGTGAACTCCCCATGAGGGATTTTTCACTGGGTGAGACGTAGCCGGGTAGCCGCATGGTGGACAGACGGAGTAGCTGGGTGTGGAGAGATGGTGGTAGGCGGCAGATGGAGGGCAGGTGACGGCAGATGGGTGGACAATAAGCAGCTCTAAACAGCCACACAGAGAGGCAGAGGTGCTAACAAAGCACAGTTACTTCAGACAGCGGTACATTTCCTTTTGTGTTAACAACTGTCTAATAAAATGTATAAAACTCTGCTAGCCTATTAAGTGGTTTTGTCACATCAGTCAGAACCCTGAAGAACACATCACAGTTATGCCACTGAAGGGTGGCAAAGGCCTTTAATAAATAAAGGATCTTTGTTTAAAAGGCCCAGGGCAGGGCACACCTCCCTCGTTTCACGACCCATACCCTGAAATGGCGGTCAGGCTGTGCTGAACACAGCCTTCCCGATGCCCACATGCCGGCTTCTCCTGCACATGAGAGGCCCTGGGGGCCAGACGGAGGGTGACTCTGCCTGCTGGAAATGCGCAGCACAGCAAGAAAACACACAGCAGGCTCTGTCCCTAGCGCTGCGGCCTGGCAAGGAGGAGGCTGAAAATGTCGCCCCTCCAACTCCCTGAGTCGGGTGGCTTTCTAATTTCTACTGTCAGCTACATGAGCCTCAACGGCCCTTTATCTAACTGAAGTCTATCAGGGTAAAGGATTTGTAAGAATCATTTCTGCATACATTATCGCTTAAAGACAGGACAAATGTTTACAAGAGACGGCAATGCTGTGCCTTCAAAGAGATAGACCTTCCTTTACAAGGTGACCGCACACATATCCTCAACTGTTCACGGGCTGAGAACCCTAAGGAGCCAGGCGCTAGTGAGTATGTGCTCCAGGACGAGGGCAATACACAGAGACCACAGGACGCAAACACGTTTCCACTGGAGATGAGAGATTAGATGACAGCACGAGCTGCACGTGCCCCAGGTCACCTCAGCCTTGTTTCTCCACAGAATTCAAATTGCTTCTTTCTGAACACAGAGCCAATCCTCCAGGTTTCGGAGCAACAGAAGAGCAATCGCCATAGATCAAAGCAGTGGCATCTGGCAATGAGCCCCCACCCGCCTGGTCAGCACCACCTCGGGCAGCTCAGGTCAGCAGCTCAGAGGCTGAGCGCCCGCCAGTGGAACTCTGGAATCCTCCGCAGTCGTCCTGGAGCCCACAAGCCAGGAGAGAGGGCTGGGTGCCGGGCTACAGTGTGGTGCTGCTCCGGCCCACAGGAAAGAGGCAGAGGCATTCCCAGGGACCACATAATGACAGATGCACCTCAAGAGGCCAGGACCAGCGGGACCCGGAGGCAGAGGGCACATCTCCCGACAAGAGCCCAACTTTCCACCACCCTGCCAGGGAAGAGCCATGCTGATCTTGGAGGACTGCTCCAGACAAGACACTTCAGAACTGCAAGAGGCACACGTGAAGATGCCGGCCCCTGCAGCCACAGAAGTTTTGGGAACGTCACTGGGCGCCTGGAGCCAGCTTTTCATGCTCCTAGAAATGAGGGGAGGGAGGCGCCACCTCAGCTGACAGCCCATGGTCTCTCTGCTGTGCTGTCCTCAAAGAGGACAGGCCCCCGCCAGGACAAGGTCACCCCAGCAGCTGGGCTGCCGGCAGGCTTTGGGGCGCACCAGCTCAACACCTTTGGTGGCCCAGCTGCCGGGACCAACGGCCTGAAAACACTTCAGTTGCTCGACAGTTACCCCTGAGCAATAGCTTTCTGGGCTGTGTACACTGAACTCACCAGCTTGTGCGTGTTTACACACGAGGGCCTCAGGTGACTGTCTGCCTCCCTGGTGGTGTCACCAGGCAGGGAAAACTCTGCTCAGCAGAGTCCAGATGGTGCCAGCAGGTGGCAGTGCCCGGAAGTGTCTGTGCAATGAAGAGCTGTGTTCTTAGCTCTTTCTTCCCCATTTGATACATGCTCTGTAGACTTCAGGAACTCTTCCTTTATCAGGCTAGAAGCATGTCCTTCGATCATGAATTTTTAGCTCTGAGGGGAGCATTCAAGTTGGGGGAACCTCGCAGCAAGACCCCTGGCGTTCCAGGGTCCTTGACTCACTGCCAAATAAGCAAGATGCGCTCTCCTGCTCTGCTGAGATGCTGCCATCTCCTGACACTGCACCTGGGATATCTGCATCTCCCTTGGGCGAGGGCTGCACACCCATGCCGCATCACGATCCGAGTGACCAGCAGGAGCTCCTGACCCCGAAGGCACAGTGGGTCCCAACAGGAGCGCAGGGTCGCAGGCTGCTCTGTGCATCTGCTGAGCAACTGGCCCGCCGTCCTGGAGACTACAGATTTACTACTGCTGTGTCCACGCACTGCCGCTTACAGGAGGAAACACACAGCCCCACTGAAGCGTTTGGAGAATATAAAGCTGTGGTTTTCATGAATCTGCACAGCAGTCGCAGCCACCCACTGGGGCTTGTCCTCGCCTCCTCTCCCGCGCTCTCGCCCCCGTAAGTCGCCAGGCCACACCTCCTGGGGCGCACTTTGGTTCTGGGACGCTTCCCGCCGCTCTGACCTGGGGGTTTGCTCTGCTGTCTTCATGCAGCTGAGCTGGAGCAACGCCTGCTGTTTTCTCAACCGCTTCTTTAGCCTATGCCACTGTGTCTGTGACTTTACTATTTTAAACCATCCCACAAGTGTTTAGGTTCATCACGCCAAAACAATTTCTGATTCCGCTGTGTTTTCACCCTTAGCCCTGACCACAGTTATATGTAGTGATTCCTCATTTCCAAAGGTTTACTTTTTATTGACCTCATAAGATTGCGATCGGGTAGTGGGACCTGAACACCAATTATCTGCACCTCAGGGTGCCCTGACCCAGAGTCTGATCCACCAGGGGCCACACGGCTTCGGCCTGGCTGAAATCGGCGGTGCATCCCTTCTCCCGCCTTCACCGCGGTAGCTTCTGCGCCTCCCTCCCTCCCTCTCCGGAGTGTGCCCAGCCCAATCCCGTGCCCCCCTGAGAATCATGCTTACTGGCAACTGCACTCGATTTACACTTACTGTGAGGACCAGTATCTTTGGACGTATTCTGCAATCTTTTCTCTTTCTTTTTGTTCTCCTCTTTTAATGTAGTTTCAGCTCTCAGTCAGATTGGGTTTTGCTCTACCGGTTTAGAAGTTAACGTATTTCTAGTCCCTTAGCAGTTGATCATAAAATACACACCTGACTTGTCATAGCCATAGAAACTCCAAAGCAAAAATCCGCTCCCCTCCCAACGGAGGGAGAGTGACCACGGCTGGCCACAGCCCCGGCTGAGCAGTTTGTCCAGACCTCACAGCTGATCTGCCCCCTGTTCTTGCTCGCTTCCCAATACTCCCTCGAGGCTCATTTCCGGGGATGTACACTGACTGTACACCCTCGAAGGTCATTTCCAGGGATGTACACTGACTGTACACCCTCGAGGGTCATTTCCGGGGATGTACACTGACTGTACACCCTCGA